GACAAAGCATGTCTCAGATGAGATGTGGGAGACTCATCTAGAGCTGTTAAGACGGGGGAGGTCTGTGAGAACAAAGATCCTAAGAGAGCTATCATCCCTCCACTGCACTCCAACCTGGGCAACAGAGCGAGACCTTGTCACAAAAAATTAAAAAAAATAAAAAAAACTTCAACATAATAATAGTTAAAACTTATTCAAATATTTATATAAGCAAATTATACATATATATTTTGGCAGGACACGGTGGTTCACACCTGTAACCCCAACACTGTGGGAGCCCAAGGCAGGCAGATCACGACATCACGAGATTGAGACCATCCTGTCCAACATGGTAAAACCCTATCTCTACTAAAACTACAAAAATTAGCTGGGCGTGGTGGCGGGCACCTGTAATCCCAGCTACGCAGGAAGCTGAGGCAAGAGAATCACTTGAACCTGGGAGGCAGAGGGTGCAGTGAGCTGAGATCGCACCATTGTACTCCAGCCTGGGCAACAGAGCGAGACTCCGTCTCAAAAAAAAAAGTATATATTTTAAAGGATATAATACTCACTTCATCCAAAATGATGGCTATTAGTTTCTCAAGTGCCCGTGAAGGATTAAAGATGCTTACTTAAAGAATGTCTGCTAATCTAAACACCTCAAAAATAGGGTCTTGTTGGGCAGGGTGGCTCACATATTATAGTCCTGGCTCACATATACAGTCCTCCCCACTCCCTTTACTTCCTGGTAAGAACAAACTCGGAGGCAAAGATTGGTTGGAAAAATGATGATCTCGTTCCTGTAGGACCCCCAGGAGGGGGAGTAGAGATTGTTTTAGAAGCTCAAACTTCAAATTGTAGGTATCGAATCTGATTTTCAAGTGCATGGAACTCCATTATAATAATAAAGCTTACTATTTTTAAAAAATGAGGAACACTAAAGGAGTCTAGCCAATACAGCATTTTTCTTCTTCCTGTTATTTGCAATTCCACAGGCACTAAAATGCCCTTTTTCAAAGATGAAACACACTTCAGAGTACAACAAGTGAAAGCATAAAGCATATTCAAAGTATATTTCAAGTATGCTTCACTTGTTGTACCCTGAAGTGTGACCCAAGTAAGAAAAACAGTTTTCTTGACATTATCAGCTACAGTTCTAATTTATTTCTCACAGAGCTTTAGTAGAGATGGTCAGTGAAAATGAGATAACCAAGATCATCTCTGATCAACTAAATCCAAAATGAAAAGCTAAGATTTTTCTCTCCTTTGGAAATGTTCTTTAGCACTTCCACCAACCTAGGAAAGAAGGTTCTTAAATATGTCTTCATCCCTCTAATCCCCACTCAGCCGTGCTTCTTTCATCTCTAGGCTGTAAACACAGTCCTGTCTACCACTGAGTAACACTTGGGACCCACAGTCTAATATTACAGTCTGGGCACAGTGGCTCATGCCTATAATCCCAGACACGTGGGATACCAGGCGGGAGGATCACCTGAGCCCAGGAGTTCGAGACCAACCTGGGCAACACAGCGAGACTCTGTCTCTAAAAATAAAAATTTTTTTAAAGTTACCTGGGCGTGGTGGAGCGTACTTGTAGTCCTAGCTCCTTGGGAGACTGAAGCTGGAGGATTCCTTGAGCCCAGGAGTTCAACGCTGCAGTGAGCTATAATCGTGCCACTGCACTCCAGACTGGGCGACAGACCGAGACCCTGTCTCTAAATAATATTATTATAATTTGTTCACATGTCAAACAATAGACATTTTGCATCCTCTATGCACCAGGCACCATTTTGGCACAACAAGTCCTGCCCTCAAGGAATACTGTGGAGAGGGATAATTGATAAACATATAAACCTAACAATAACTCCTGATAAAAAGGTTAGAAATGGGCTGGGTGCGGTGGCTCACACCTGTAGTCCCAGCACTTTGGGAGGCTGGGGCGGGTAGATCATTTGAAGTCAGGAGTTTGAGACCAGCCTGGCCGACATGGTGAAACCCCATCTCTACTAAAAATATAAAAATTAGCCAAGCATGGTGGGGTGGGTGAGCGCCTATAATCCCAGCTACTCAGGAGGCGGAAGCAGAAGAATCCCTTGAACCTGAGAAGTGGAGGTTACAGTGAGCCAAGACTGCACTACTGCATTCCAGCCTGGGCAACAGAGCGAGACTCTGTCTCAAAAAAAATAAAGAAAGAAAGAAAGAAATGGTAATGTAGTGCCTGCGTGTATGGTGGAAGCTGTTCTGGTGTGGCCGTTCAAGAAAGCCCACTCTAGACTCAGAGGTCCTTCCTCAGAGTGGCCTTTCCTGACTGTTCCATGGGAGGCCTTTGGGAAGAGCAGGGTGGCAGGGCCAGCACCAGAGCTCTCCAGACTGAAGGTGCTTCACGTGCTCATAGGCTAAAAAGGCGACTTATCTGACTTAGTACTGGTGAGCAAATAAAGAAGAATGAAGATTCAAGACCGGGGACAGGTCCTCCAGTGCACTGTGAGCCACAGTGAGAAATTCACATTTCACTCCTTTCAGTGGGAGGAAGTGGAAGGTGTCACGCCACTGACGACTGTAAGGCTGTGAAAGACCACTCTGGCTACTCTGTTTAAACAGCTTAAGCCACGGAACTGAATGAAATTTATGCATGGAAGGAAACAGGTTTAAAAATAAAAGAGAGCGTCCTGGTTGTAGCTCTGGGCGCTGGATGTAAAGACTTGATGGAATCTACAGTCCCAGGAGAGGATCAAGGACCGAGGGAAGGGAAGCCAGGGAAAGGAAGTTGCACTGAAGCCTGGAGATGGAAGTGTTTCCAGTGTTATGTTGACGCAAAGTCTGCACCATGAGGACAAGGCGGCATGGACAAGGGGGAGCTCCCTGGCGACCCTGAGAAAAGGGAAATGCCTTCCAAGGAGCAGAGTTCTCACAAACCAACTGGAATGTTCTGGCTCTATTACCAGGTATCTTCATCAAGACCAGTTTTAGATTTATATACTTTATATATTTTTATTTTTATTTTTATTTATTTTGAGACAGAGTCTCACTCTGTCACCCAGGCTGGAGTGCGGTGGCACGATCTTGGCTCACTGTATCCTCTGCCTTCCGGGTTCAAGCGATTCTCATGCCTCAGCCTCCTGTGTCGCTGCGACTACAGGAGTATGCCTGGCTAATTTTTGTATTTTTAGTAAAGACAGGGTTTCACCATGTTGGCCAGGTCTCAAAACCCCTGACCTCAAGTGAGCCACCTGCCTTGGCCTCCCAAAGTGCTGAGGTTACAGGTGTAAGCCACTGCACTCAGCCATATATTTTATATTTTTATGAAATACAAAATATATGTATGAGGCCAGCTTTCCCAAACTTTTGCTCATATGTGCTCAAACAATAAATGACCAACTAGAGTAAATGAATAAAAGTTGCTTAAGAAATCTTCCATATATTTCAAGGTAACCTCTAACCTGGGCATTATAAATTATAGTTATTCTCCAATCACTACATTTGTTTCTAACACACTGTTGTTCCTCTCACATCCAGAGAAAGCTAATCACTCATTGCCAACACAGTAAGAGAGTAAGTAAGTTCTACAGGTAGCAGGTGATGTGACTTGCTACAAGCAAAACTGAAAACAGCTTTAAAGGAGAATGGTAACGATGGCAGGCTGACTCCTTGACTTCCAGTGTGATTCCAATTTCCTCCAACCTACGTGACTGCCTTCACCAAACAGCAACTAACAACACTGGAGAGCAGACTTCTCTGAATAAAAATAAGAATCACCACAGGCGCTTATAAATGCAGATTACAAGGTCTCTCCAAGTTAGCTATGGGTTCCCAGGGCAGGCCGAGAAACTGTTTTTTAAAACAGCTCCCTTGATAAATCTGACAGTTCATGAATCACACTTTGTGAAACAATGATGCAGAAGTTTAGAACTGAATAACACACACAATAATGACCCACTGGTTCAGTTCTGTTGGATCTCTGGGGGAAAAAAACACCAGGAAAAATAATCACTGCCTACCTCAGTCCCCGCAGGACTTAGCCTCTGCAGTCATAGATTCATTTCACTAACTCTCAAGCCCCACCATGTGCCTAAATACAATTTAAACAGCTGCAAAATCTTGGTTTTAATTTTTCCATCTACTGTGTATGCTTACTTATATGCTTATATAAAGCTAGAATTTTAAAAATTACATATCTGCATGGCAGCCTGATAAAAACTAATTCCTTCTCCCCTGAATATATGCATTCATACACTTAGAGAATTCTTTAAATAGTTAAGTCTCAGACAACTCACTTGGATTTCTGCAACTCGAATGTTTAGAAGAACGTGGAAAAGCTGATGTCAAAAGACCTATTTGGACAACAGAACTTGCCCTGTATGTGTTTTTGAATGAGTATAAATAAATCCTCATTTATCATTTTCTACTGAGTTAACACCTATATAAGGCTGGAAATTGCATTTCCAATGGGGTTCCCATTCACTATTGCATAAGAGTAGCTTCCTGATTGTTTAGAAAACCTTTTCGCATTTGCTCTAACACTTACCCTAGGGCTGGGCAAAGAGTTTTAAGAAAAACGGAAGTAAGACAGGTGATCACTTTTCAATGAAAGAACAGGTTATCCATAGTAGAGAAAACAGAGGTTGAGAGGGAAGGGCACTCATACAAAATTGTTTGAAAAAAGAAATGAAATCAAGAAATAAAAATAGAATTACATTTTCTACTTGGCAATACACAAACAACACTAAGTGCACTTCATAAATTTTACTACTGTTGCTCTAAGTAGTATTACCATAAATCACATTAGCAGTGTCCTTGGCACTTTTTAAAAGCAGAAAGGAGGGAGTGTGTTTGTAAGTTTAAACAGCTCTGTTATCGCTGAAGAGCGTGGAGGAGAAATGACTGACAGCTGTTCCTAGGTTTAAAAACCCGGTTTAGCCCCCACCCGCGAGGCTGCGCCTCCACCTCCAGCCAATTTGGCGCAACACAGAGCACCGGTTTATCAGAAAAACGCTCAAGGCTGCTTTCTCGGTGCTTTTTACCTGGTGTGCGAGCGGAGATGGCCGCTTGCCCCTCTTCTCATCGCGGACAGGAAAGAGAGACTTGAGGAGCTTTGGCATCTGTGGCACGAAGGATTTGACAGGATTCAAGTAGGATGCTGCGAGGTTACTTAGTCCTGCCCATATTATAGGGGAAAAAGATAAAACATATACAATTACATAGACATCTTCTTTCCTGTACATTTGCCAGACATCACTTGTCAGCAAATCTAACAAAAACCAAAGGTATCCTTAAAAAATATTAGAAAAACACAGTATTATTGTAGTTTCCGTAATTTCCCTCAAACATAGTAATGTCCCTTTTTTAATTAAATAGCAGTAACTGGGGTGCTGCCAAAATGCTCTAGTGCCAAAATGCTCAGTGTTCCTATCAGCATCAGAACAGCAATTCACCTCTATCCTGTCAATAATTGGCAAAAGCATTCACTTCTGCCCTAGAATAAAATGGGATTGATTTTTAAGTCACACTGCCAATGACACACATGTATAGCTCTCTGTCTAGACTTTAAGCTCTTTGAAGTCAGGGACTATGTCTTATTCAATCTAATTTTTCATAACTATTTACTGAAGGAAGATGATGAAACTGACCTTTTGGGAAAAGGGTGAATGGTAATGTTTGAGTTATTTATTACAAGTCAGGGAGAGATGCCCTGAACAACTTACGTTCTTACCTGCTGTTAATTTCCAAGGGCTGGGATCAGAGGTATAAACAGGTCATACTTATGATATACTAAGATTTCTTCCCCCTATTAATTTATAGTAAAATCTAATCCCAAATCATAAGTCGTGAAAAGCTGTATTCATATAACATTTAGAAATGAACAAGCAAGTCATCTTAAGGAATACATTTGCCTTAACAGATGCACACAACTCCCCACAGATCTCTACTCCACACTAACCCTGAAAGGATTCCAAATTTACTGGCAATTCAGTTGGTAAATGGATGGATACAGCTGTAAGGTTTCTACATTTTACATAAAGCAGTAGAATATTAAGTGTAAGCATACTGCAAAAAGTTAAGGATGTACATTGTAATCATGAGGGCGACCACTGAAAAATAAAGCAAAGAATGGCTATACCGTGCCAAGAGATAGATACATCATACCTCAGTTTAGAAAAGTCCAATTATTTACAGCAAGGCAAAAACAAGGATAAGAAAAATAAAAGAGGGGAGACAGAAAATAAAATAAGTTTAAGATGAATAAAGATCCAAAAAGATACAATTATTTCAAAGATGAGGAAAAAAATTACAATCTAGAGTTCTTTATCAAATTAACATTCTAGAGTAATGATAATCCCTCATTAAGTAAAAATCTAGCCAGTAATGAATCAAAGGCCACACATATCACTAAATGAGACCATCAGACATTATGTGTCTCCAACCTCCCCACCACACATCCACACCCAACCACCCTACCACACACATCCTTCTCAAATCAGCTGAATTGAATCAGGAATCTAGCCCTAACTACCAGTTCACAGGCAATACAGGGGATAGAATTGCGTTTCAATAGTCTCATGGGAATGCGACAGGAAAAAATAAGAATGAACAGAGTCTGCTGTGCAAGAACCTGGCCTACTGTACCAGTCTACCGTACAAGAACCTGGTTTCTTCAACAAACACAATGCATGGTCGTGAAGTATTTCTCACCAGTAAAAAATAAATGACTAATGCAAGCAACAATCTGGAAGAATTTAACATATAAGGTAAGCCAAAGAGACAGACACAAAAAGGGCATACATCGTATTGGCTCCATTTATGAAACTGCAGAAGTAATCTAGAGAAGTAGTCATCAGAACACTGGCTGCCCACAGGGAGTGGGAATTAACTGGAGTCATGTCAATGTCCTACATTTTGACTGGGGTATGAATCACATGGGTATATACAAATACATTTGGTAAAACTTATTAAATATGACCCACAGTCAACAAAGGAGTCAATAAAAATAGACCATGAGATGTCTAGACACTGGATTTAATAGAAAACAACTTTAAGGCAGCTTTCTTAACCAAGTCCAATGATGCAAAGGAGAATACAGTCTTGACAAGTGCACAGACCGGGAATATCAGCAGAGAAATTAAAACCAGAAAAGCAGCAGCAAATGGAAATTCTAGAACTGGAAAAAAAAAAAAAATGACTGAAATGAAAAAAGTTCCCTGGATGTGCTTAACAGACTACTGGAAATCACAGAAAAAAAATTATCCAACTAGAAAAAATAAAATTAAAAGATAAAAAAAAAAAAATAGAGCCTCTGTGACCTGTAGGACAATATTAAACAATCTAACCTGTGAGTAATGAGATTCTCAGAAGGAGCAGAAAGAGACAAAAGGATTAGGGGAAAAGTTTTAATGAATAATGTCTAAACATTTCTTATAATTGCTGAAAAACATCAACTGACAGATCCAATAACTTGATAAGCAAGTTAAATACTAAGAAAAAAATACCTAAGCAAATCATAGTACAATTGCCACAGATAAAGAGAAACTTCTGAAAGCAGGCAAACTAAACAGAGATATCACACTGAGTGGGAAGTGACAAATGATGGCTGAATTCTCAGCAGAAAAGAAGGGGCTGGAGATGAGGAGACGTCATTGAAGTGCCGAAAAAAAAAACCTCCAACTCAAGAGTTCTCTATCCAGTGAAAATATTCTTAACAACAAAACAAAACAGTGAAATAAAGATACTTTCAAAAAAGGAGAGCATTTTTCTCCAGCAGGACTGTACTCTAAGAAATACTAGGCTGGGTGCAGTGGCTCACACCTGTAATCCCAGCACTTTGGGAAGCCGAGGCGGGTAGATCACCTGAGGTCAGGAGTTGGAGACCAGCCTGACCAACATGAAGAAACCCTGTCTCTACTAAAAATACAAAAATGAGCCGGGCGTCATGGCAGGCACCTGTAATCCCAGCTACTCGGGAGGCTGAGGCAGGAGAATCGCTTGAACCCAGGAGGCAGTGGTTGCGGTGAGCTGAGATTGGGCCACTGCACTCCAGCCTGGGCAACGAGCAAAACTCCGTCTCCCCCCAAAAAAAACCAACTACTTCTTCAGGCTAGAAAGAAATAAAATCAGATTAAAATAAGACCATCAGGAAGGACTGGATACTGTCAGAAATAATCTGAAAAAAATAAAATAAATAAAAGATTATCCATTTTTTCTGTATTCTCTGAAAAGACAAGTAGCTTTTTTTTTTTTTTTTTTTTTTTTTTTAAAGACAGAGTCTCACTCTGTCACCCAGGCTGGAGTGCAGTGGCGTGATCTTGGCTCACTGCAACCTCCGCCCACCTCCCAGGTTCAAGCGAGTCTCCTGCCTCAGCCTACTGGGACTGCAGGTACCAGCCACCACGCCTGGCTAATTTTTGTGTTTTAGCAGAGAGAGGGGTTTCACAATGTTGACCAGGCTGGTCTTGAACTCCTGACCTCAGGTGATCCACCTGCCGTGGCCTCCCAAAGTGGTGGGATTACAGGCATAAGCCACTGCACCCAGCCTGAGCTTTTTTTGAGAAAGGATCTCACTCTGTCGCCTAGGTGTGAGTACAGTGATGCAGTTGTGACTCACTGCAGCCTCAACCTCCCGGGTTCAGGTAATTCTCCCACTTCCGCCTCCTGAGTAGTGGGACCACAAGTGTGTACCACCGCACTCAGCAGATTTTTGTATTTTTGTGTGGAGACAGGGTTTTGCCTTGTTGCCCAGGCTGGTCTCAACTAACCCATACCTTGGCTTCCCAAAGTGCTAGGGCTACAGGTGTGAGCTACTGCACCCGGCCTACAAGTGGCTATTTTAAAGCAAAAAGAATAACGTCATAGAGTGAGGTTTGTAACACCTCTATATGTAAAAGATGAAACAAGAGTACAAAATAAGGGGCCTAGAGGAACAGGTCAATGACTTACACTGTTGCGTGGTTCTTGTACTGTGAGGTGAGGGAAGACATCATATGAACTCTAAGCAGATTTGGTAAGTTAAGGATGCCAAGTAGGGTTTCTGAGCAAAGAATTTAGCAAACAAATACAGGTGTCCAAAAAAGCAAAAAGAGGAAATAAATGAGATACGAATTGTTTTTTATTAACCCAAAAGAAGGTAAATAAGGAGTTACAGTGAAACAAAAAACAGAAGAATGGCCAAGTAGAAAACCAATAATAACATGGCGGACCAGAATGGGAGGCACTGGAAGGGGTGAAGCATGGCAATTAAAGGGCAGGAACTATGAGATGAGATTCAGGGGGAAATAACTGGACCCAAACAGACGTTGTCTACAAGGCAATCACTTTTGATTTAAAGACAAATACAGGCTACAATTTTAAAAGCTGAGAAAAAATAAATCGTGCAAACAGTGAACAAATCTGATGCAGTTATATATATAAATGATAGGTAAGAGAGATTTCAAGATAAGAGTATTCCCAGAGATAAAAGGGACATTTCACGACAGAAAGGTCACTCCATCAGGAAGATATAACAATCTTAAATGTGTGTGTACCTAATTATCAGAGTTTCTAAATGAATGAAGCAAAAACCGTTATAAAGGGAAATACAAATAATTTTCACAATCGTATTTGGATATCTAAGGCCCTCTCAAGAATTGATAGAATAGGCCTCCACCAAATCAGCAAAGATCCAGAGGATTTGAACAAGGCGATAAACCACAGTGACCTAATTAGATATACATAGAACACCATGTCCCCAAACACAACAGTGCACATAGAATATTAACCAAGATAGAACACAATCTGGAATACAGAGTACCCCCAAATATAAAAAAGAATTAATGCTAGTTGATAAGTCACGGATCAAAGCAGCAATCAGAGGGAAATTTTAAAACACTCTGAATAGAATGAAAATGAAAGCACAACATAACAAAATACGTAAAATGAGAAAAATTTAAAAATACAATTGCAATACAAAAATTAACAAAGCCAAAAACTGGTTCTAAGATTAATATATCTGATAAACCTGTCAGAAAAGTATTCAAAACAGAAAATAAAAATTATCAGTATCAGAATAAAAAGAAGAAACATCACAAGAGATCCTATAAGTATTTAAGCAATAAGGTAAAGTAGCCAGGCACAGTGGCTCATGCCTGTAGTCCCAGCACTTTGGGAGGCCAAGGCTGGTGAATCACAAGGTCAGGAGATGGAGACCATCCTGGCTAACATGGTGAAACTCCCATCTCTACTAAAAATACAAAAAGTTAGCTGGGCGTGGTGGCACGTGCTTGCAGTCCCAGCTACTCAGGAGGTTGAAGCAGGAGAATCACTTGAACCCGGGAGGCGAAGGTTGCAGTGAGCCGAGATCATGCCACTGCACTCCAGCCTGGACGACAGAGTGAGACTCCGTCTCAAAAAAAAAAAAAAAAAAAAGTAAAGTGATGTTTATGAAAATAAACTTAATAATCTAGATAAACTAAGACACTCCTTGAAAAAAATATAACCTATGATAGGTGACTCAAAAGGAGACATAAAGATCTAGATATTCCCATACTAAAGAAACTTGCCACGCATGGTGGCTCACACCTGTAATCCCAGCACTTTGGGAGGCTGAGGCACACAGATCACCTGAGATCAGGAGTTTGAGACCAGCCTGGCCAACATGGTGAAACCTCATCTCTACTAAAAATACAAAAATTAGCCAGGCTTGGTGGCGGGTGCCTGTAATCCCAGCTACTCGGGGGGCTGAGGCAGGAGAATCGCTTGAACCTGGGAAGGGAAGGTTGCAGTGAGCCGAGATCACACCACTGGACTCCAGCTTGGTTGACAGAGCAAGACTCTGTCTCAAAAAAAAGAAACTCAAGTCATAATTTAAAATCTCTCCACAAAGAGGATTCCAGGCCTGGATCATGTAACTAAGGAATTCCATGAAACATTTAAGGAAGAGGTAATACCAATCTTACATAAACTCTCCCAGAAAAAAAATGAGAAACATTTCCCAAGTCATTTTATGAAACCAATGCAATCATAACAAAACCTAACAAAGACATGAAGATGAGAAGATACAACATTACAGATATTTACTATAGAGCACATACACAAAAGTCCTTAACACAGAGGAGCAAAGAGAGTCCAGCAATGTACAGGCTAACACACCATGATCAGGTGGTATATATCAGGGCAATGCAAGATCAATCCAACATTCCAGAGCCAACGGAACTCAACCAGTTAAGAGGAGAAATGAAACAATTCGATGGACATTATCTAGTAGAACAGTGGCTGCCTGGCAGGAAATCCTAATTTAAACTTTCTGAAAGATGCTCAGATTTCTGACAGTAATTGACAAGTGAAAAGATAACTTACCTGGATCTGGAGAATGATTATTTTGGGGAGAAACAGAGAGCGCAGGAGCAGGAGCTATTCCTCTGGAAACTGTGGTTTGGGATACATCCTGCTGACTTTCCCACCGGCCCTAGTAAAGACAAAATTGGCAATGGTGTTTCAAGTTATTCAATTAACCAAATTAAAAAAAAGTACAGATACTCAAGAAAAAAACTGTTACATATTACTAAAGCTCCTTTGAATATAAGCTTGATTACAGAAGCACTTTTTTTTTTTTTTTTCTATTTTAAGAGGCAGGTTTCTCTCTGTCACCCAGGGTGGAGTGCATGGGTGTGCCATCATAGCGCATGTAACCTCCAACGCTTAGACTCAAGCAACCCTCCCGCCTCAGTCTCCAGAGTAGTGGGGACTACAGGTACATGCCACCACAGGAGGATAATCTTTTTACTACTTTTGTAGAGATGGGATGTCACTATGTTGCCCATACTAGTCTCAAACTCCCAGCTTCAAGCAATCCTCCTGCCTTGGTCTCCCAAAGTGCTGTGGTTACAGGTGTGAGCCACCATGCCTGACCAGCACTTTTCTCCTTGTCATCCTGCTTATTTTATTAATTTCTCCAACAACAACAACAACAATGCCCCCACACACACATTTGGACAGCCCCTCCATACTGCAGTTTACAGTCTCCCATTAAGCTCTGTCCTAACATGTTTTCTACTCTGTGCATCCTGTTGCCTCCCACAGAATACAGACATATTCCTTCCGCAATTCTCCCTTCGGTTCTGCTTTGAGACAACTTCTGCTCTTTTGCCTCAAGATGCCCTTTTTCACTCAGTTCTCCACAGAAACCCACGAACAACTCTGTAGTCAGAGGGTGTCTCTTCTCTCTACTCCCAGACTGTTTCCACTCACTCACATACAGTGCATAACAGTAAATATTACCAAACCTCTCATTTTAAATAGATATTAAAGATATATTACAGTCAAGCCCAAGTCAACTAATTACAAATTCTCAATGATGGAAGTCTCTGAATTATCAAATTTTATTGTACTCTCAACTTATTTGTAAATACCCATTAAAGACATTTCATCAGCTGATGGATTAAAAGACCATTCCAGGCTGGGCGTGGTGGCTCAGGCCTATAATCCCAGCACTTTGGGAGGCCTAGGCAGGCGGATCACGAGGTCAAGAGATCGAGACCATCCTGGCTAACACAGTGAAACCCTGTCTCTACTAAAAATACAAAAAATTAGCTGGGCGTGGTGGTGGGCGCCTATAGTCCCAGCTACTCGGGAGGCTGAGGCAGGAGAATGGCGGGAACCTGGGAGGCGGAGTTTGCAGTGAGCGGAGATCGCGCCCCTGCACTCCAGCCTGGGCGATACGGTGAGACTCCGTCTCAAAAAAACAAAAACAAAAACAAAACATTCCAAAATTCATGTTGAGCCATAAAAATAGTGATACCATCAAAGCACTTTTAACTTCAGCCCTATCTAGGGAAGATATAAACCCCAAACGTTGCTTGCTTCTACTAAAACTGGTAAGAGATGAGACCAAATCTTTTAAATGCTTTAAGTTCCCTTTGATCCCCTGATAACCACTGACTTCTTTACCACTGGAGTTTAATAAACACGTGAATATGAGTTTGAGCTAGCGCTGCACAGATGAATAACCCTAATGATTAACTCAAGGTTTTTTGTTTGTTTGAGACTGAGTTTCGTTCTTGTCGCTCAGGCTGGAGAGCAGCTGCACGATCTCTGCTCATGGCAACCTCTGTCTCCCGGGTTCAAGTGATTCTCCGGCCTCAGCCTCCTGAGTAGTTGGGATTACAGGCATGCGCCACCATGCCCGGCTAATTTTGTATTTTCAGTAGAGATGGGGGGGTTTCTCCATGTTGGTCAGGCTGGTCCTGACCTCAGGTGATCCGCCCACCTCGGCCTCCCAAAGTGCTGAGATTGCAGGCGTGAGCCACCGGGCCTGGCAAGTTTTCTTTACTAATTGCCCTGAACAGCGGGATGGGGACACTGAGTTCTCCACTGCTCTTGAAGATGGATTGTGGAGGAAGGGCCTCTTAGGTTTCAGAAATGTATTGGAAACTCATCTGCTTTTAGTAGCAACCTAAGTACTGATCATAAAAATCAATAAGCCCTAAGTGATCTGGATCCTGTGTACCTCAGAGAATGCCACTTTTCCCTAGGAACTCTCTCAGCACTTGGTATCATTTTTTAAATTGGTGTGATGGTCAGGATTGATTAGGAAGCAAGGAGAACAAGAGAGACAGGAACACGTGATCAGTGAGACTGTGAGCTCGAGATACTTGACCGGAGGAGCGCTGGCATCCCCATGAATCACACGCTGATTTACATACTTGAATGTTTTGTTAATTTTTGCATTCACATTTCATGATCTGTCTGGGAAGCTGTGGCCTTGTGTACCCCGGGATATCACCATTAGGTGACTGAACAGAGGTCAGCCCTCCGTGGAGTTTCTCAGAGGAAGAAAAGCCACCTGCTTTGTGTACAGTGGCGAGCTCACACATGGCTGTTCTGAAGACAGCTTACTTAATTTGAGAGTATTTATTTTCATATTTTAGATTTTCTTTGTTTGGCAGCTGATATGGCTGCAGTCTGTCCCTACGGAAAACTAAGCCGGTGATCTGGAGTCGGTACCTGGGCTGCTTGACGTAGAATTGGGCCAACAACAAATCATGGAGGTGCCACCTCTTCCCCAAGGCACACCCAGGCCCCGACGGCTTCAGGGCCAGTTCTTCTCAGCAGGCACCACCCAATCAGAACAGAGCAGTAACTCCATCTAATTTACTCAAATACTGCAAGTGAGAACACTGAAAGCGACACAAGGCGTAGATCCTGCCAGCCCTGCGGAGCGTGACAAACGGAGACACAGCTCACTCTGCCCTCTACCTGAACAGTCGTCTTAACCTTGAGGAACCTCACATGCTCCCCCCAACCCACCTATTCTGATCCCACTGTTCTGACTGTTCTCAAATCACGCTGGGATGGAACAGGCTCTGCTTCAGAGGGAGCAACCAATGCGGATGCTAAACTGGATACCACTCGCTTTCCTCCTCCAGCTGATGCCTACGTATCTCTGCGGAAACGCTCCACTGGAATTACTCACTCGATTTTTCTCCTGCACTACACCTCCATCCTCTTGACAGAGGTAAAACCTGTGGTTCAGGGTCCGGCTATGCACACTGTTCCCCAAGGACAACGTAACAACTATCTTCCCAATACATTGTATATGCTTGGCTGTCCTAGAGTTACACTCCCTTTACTGAAATGTTGGGGCAGATAAAAAAAAAAAAGAAAAATGAAGCAACCCAGTTCAATGTACCTCACAGGGAGATGAACCCAGGACCATGGACTAAAAGGACTTCTCAGGATGCTGGAACTTCTGGCTCTCTCAATAGCTCAGATCTAAAACTGAAAGAGTATGATATCCCTGTTTTACCTCTCCTCCAGTGATCTACACCCCTCCACCTGAACTCGAAAAAGATACATCTCTCATCTGTCTCCAACATCCTGCATGTCTACCACACTCCAGAATCAGCCATGATACAGTTACACACGAGGGAAGCTGGCTTCATTTTGGATCCTTACCCAGCTTTACTGCCATTAGGGCACATTTGTCCTCGCAGGCAGACTCAGAGAGATAAAATCCTAGTCGATACTGAAGTCACTGGTAGCCAGCACCATGCTCAGGGGCAAAGTTGACGAGGTAAAAACACAGGAGGCACCGGGGGAGGGCCTGACTTGGTCCCCAGGCACCCCTGCAGTTTTCCCACTCCTGCTCCTCTGCCAGATACAAATTATTTGGGTTTTCTGGGAATTAGTCTGGTTTTGATCAGGAAAGTGACAAAAAGGTAAATAACGAGAAGTGCCAGTGACATTTCGGGTCCAAAGGCAGCTTCCACTGCAGCTGGAAGAGGAGTGACTCATGCTTGGCAGCTCCTCCCAGGGCTGCAAGAAACCGTCACGGCTTTCAGGAAGGCGATGGAGCCAACACAAAATTCAATTCTGCTAACTGGATATTTGTTCACGCTATTGACTAATCTTAATTTCCTCAAAAACTCCAATCAAAAGATGACAATCATACAACCTTACTGGCTTATTAAAAATAAAATTTCTCCTAAAATAACTTTGGAAATAAAAATGGTTTTGTCGAAAGCATTTGTTGCACTGCAGAAGACCTCAATGCATAGCTGACTCCGGGGTGGAAAGACCAGTGACACGCCGAACTTCACCCTGCACCTCAACTTCAGCCGGTCTTGGCAGACACTCATAAAAACCCTGCTAAGGTTTCATTATACCTACAGGAAATATCTGTACAATAATGACGAAACACCCAATAGCAATAAATAGCAACACTACTTCAATCAGGGATCGTATTTTATATTTTTAATTGAAAGACTTATCCCAAGAGTGATTTATTTTAGGCCCTACAGTGAATTTCGCATTTGGAATAGTTAACCAAACTATTTTTTTAAAATTAATTAGTTCATCAACTCAATCTTGGTGAAGTTCAGCAAAACAATTCTACTTTTCACATGTAGGCGCATCGACAAATAGAGGAATGGAAAGCAGGCTGGCCTTACTCCAAGTATTATTAGGCCAAACTGTGAGTTTGTCTTTAGAATCTAACCACTTCCCTCTCGCCTCCCACACCCTTAATCCTATCACACAGAGAGGCATATGCCTCCCTGCCCACTTTACAATGTCTCTCATGTACCCAATTGAGAAATCTTTGCTACAACATTAACTGAAAACTAAGAGACCCTCACCAGAACCTCCCGGTGGCCTCTCTCTGCTTCTAACATTATTCCAACTAACCTGACCTGACTGCTCCCGTGTGATGTGATACAGAATACACAGCACGACAGACCCTACAATCTACAGTTCTGATTTGTAATTAGCATCAGAGAGATGAATGTATGGATTAATGGAAGGGACCCCAAAAATGTCTGCAAAGCAGACATAACTAATGTCATTATAATTGTCAATGATTTCAAAATGTATTTTCTAGCATTCTCAGCATCATCAAGTCCAGCTTAAAATTACATTTCTGACTCAACTCTCCTATATATTCAACATTTTCATGCAAAGAAACCAAGA